ACCTTAATACATCCAGCTTTACTCTCCACTTACAAGACTTATATGACAAAGAGCACCTAAAATTGAGAGAAATAATCTACCCATCATTTGAAAATGGACAATTTCAATGGCATTTTTAGGCTTTGCTTATCGATCTATTTCGAAATATCATTTAGGTGATATTGTTCTTAACTTAAATGTTCATCGTTATATATTCCTTGAACGTTAAAAAGAAAATAATGTTTTCGTTATCAGCTAAAAATTATTACAACACAATAATTAATTGATACTTATTTATATACATGAGTACTTCATACGGAAATGTGGGTCTGTAAAAGGACGCACTGACTGAAACTAATGAGTAGTGGAGTAAAAATAAGAAATTTGCTACACTTTCTTTATTCATTCTTAGTATATATATTTGTTACAGATCCCTTTCTCTGTAACGAAACTTGATGTTTGTAAAATCTTCGGTTCAATTCAGCTGAAATTCAATTTTATTCAAATTATTATCTTTCCTTTTCTTTTTCTTTTACATATACATGTATATTCATACATAAGAGAGAGGGTGTGGGTGTGGGTGTAAGTGTATGGGTGTATCCTGTACTAGCATCCACATCCTCTTGAACTTGTAAATTCTTAAAAAGTATCAACCTTCTTGAATTTGAGTTATTTTTCATTCAAAATATAGACAAAATACGTCTCATGAGATTGGTTTATCATTTTAAAGAGTACCTCATGATTGGAAATATGATTTATTTTCGTATTTAAAAATACAAAAAACAAATTAAGAACTAACGTATTCTTTCTCTTGGCTTTGCAATGAAAGCTTTGTGTTGTAAGGCAGTAATAATATGATGTTGACTCTTCATGATCTTCAGTCAGCTGACTTGATTTTTTTCGAAAGTTGTCCGAATAATCGGTTTTCTTCTGTTTTAGGCTCACAGAGACATGAAGCCAAACCAGCCACTTGTTCAGATTCATTAAAACTCGCATCAATATTATTTAATTCATTTCTTCGAATAATTGCATTTGTATCTCCAGTCAAATGTTGAATGATCAGAGAATAAACAACGTCTTTGTACGGTTCAGCATTATAATATACACATTCCATCCAGGCATTGCTTTGATCTTTAACCAACCAAAGATTCTTTTTTGAATTAGGATCTATCAAAAGATTATTCAATGCTGTTTGAACTTGATTTGATGAAATAAGAGATGATTGAGAAAGATGAAGAAGCATTTTAGCTGTAACATATCGAACATTCACTGATTTTGATTTCAAATAGAAGAATAATATATTTAGAACGACTTTCTCATCTTTAATAGAATTAATACGTGCTAAGCATCTATAGCAAGTATTTTGGACATGTGGATCATCATGTAAAGCTTCAATGATCATTTCACATAATTCAACTATTAGGTCATCAAATACTGATAAAATAGTTAGGCTACCAGCACGTTGTGAAAAATTATGTTGTTTACTAGTATACAACAATTGTCATTTCAAGTTTTCTTCTTCATGCCAACCATTTATATAAGCACAAAATGTTACAGGCATTCGCATAGCTATTAAGCTTGCAACTTCTACGTATGCAGAGTATGCATAAGCTAAATAACAACCGATCGCTATAATGTGCTTTACTTTGTTCGCAAAGTGGCGGATAGTATTGTATAATTCGACTGGAAAAAATGGTAGAAGGCTGGAATGTTCTTCAATAAACGCTGCTACGATATCTGCACTACTCTGTCGAACATCGTAAGTGAATAAATATGCCGTTGATGCCATCAATGCATGATAACACTGAATATTATCTGAATTAAGCATTATAAGTAACAATGAACTATTCTGCAGAGCACGGCTAAGTCCAAGATGAACTGCTCGCAAAACATTGGACGACGAATGTTTGAGCAACATGCGAAAGCGATTCATATCATCTTGATCAAATCGGAGATTGTTAATAGATAAACAATGTCAATAACTTGAAATCAATGCGATAAGAGAATAGTCAGACTTCTCTAAAGTATTATTTATGTCGTTATTTACCGTCATCTGAAGTTTCTGAAATAGAATTTTATATGGGTTTTTGTCACAAATATAACCGAGAGCAAAAACTTCCATTCGACATATTTCACTATTTCTTGACGTTTCGGACAAGGTCATCAACGTATAGACTATCAATAGTTGTGTTTCATCGTTATATCTAACGCGAGAAATTAAATACACAAGTACTGAAACAATAAATTGAGCATGACTTTCCAAATGATATTACGA